GTTGAGGTTATTACCATTGTGATCTGCTGAATGAATGCGTAGCAACCCCGCTCTGCGCGCAACGCTCGCCTCTCGCACCACTGTCTGCTTACCGCCAATTTGTCTGGCCAATCATCTCACACATGACCGCGCTGTAGACGCTGTGGAAACTGCCACGCTCTCACCCTTCGGACGACGCCCCTCTTTCGAGGACTCGACCGCCTGTTAACTTCCTCCAACCTATTTCGCACTGCTTCTGTGTTTGATATACTTGTCCTTCCATCTGACATCTAAATTCTTCTGCTCTCCTAACACAAAACTGGGCCTAAAGATCGCAGTAGCAAGGAAATTCCCCAATAAGTTAAGCCACGTCGAGAAAAGTCTCAGTAAGCGATTCTGTCCACTGTGACTGTTTGCGTTCAGTCAGGCTGTATGATTACATGCCGCCTTACTTAGTCCAACTGATTCAAACCGAACACCACAAGACAGGACTAGAAACATCTCGTCAACGGCAAGGATAATATCTGCATTCATCTCACTCCAGACAGCTATTAGGATTCAGTTATTGAAGCAACTCCGTCCAAGCACGTGATATGCTGAGTTTCTAAATGCACACTGACACTCTAGTGTTACAATGGACAGCGTGTCAGACACTGTAGGCTTTGATCACGCTGGTAACCCCCCCCCTCCAGGAACCGCAGTGTAAGGTTTATTAAATAAGTGCAATATCAAGGTAATTGATAATAAACTCCTCAACTCCACTGCAAATATATCCGATTTTGTCAGAAATCATTATGTGTATACGTTCTGCTCTCTTTTGATCCACTGAACTTACGCATTTTCAGATCACACCTGCCGACGAGGATCTCTCAACCAGGCCAACGCTGAAAAAACATTTGAAGGCCAAAGTAAAAGCACAGCTGTCAGATCTGGATCTGGAGTCTGACCGCATGAGTCTTTCCACTCCTTCCACTTCTCTCCCCTCCGTCGCACACGTCAGCTTCTCGGTTGGTTCCAACGGTTCCGGTCAGCTCGGCCCCTTTTCCGAAACTTGGATCGCTGACTATCTGCAAACTCAACGCATTCTCTTGTACCGACAGGAGCATCCCAATCCCCGTATTTTCTATTTTTGCGACTACCTGGGCTGTGAAACATGTCAACGCCCCAGAGAACCAGTTTATTTTGGCAATCCGACAGACATAGAAAACACTGGAAGTCGTCAATCCACATATCAAAGCAGCTCCTTCCTCACGTGGATCTCATATGCGTGTGGCTTTTTTAGCGACGGAGAATCTTCAAGCTCCAGTCACACACCTCTCAGCTGTATAGCTGCCCTCTTCAAAGATGCCAAAGATGCCTTCGAACTATTCCCCAACTGTGGCAACTATGTGCTCTGCGCCCTGTTCGCTGAACCGCGCTCGAAGCCGAAACCGCTGGAGAAAGAGGACCCATTGGCTGGGTCAGTAACCTTGGAGGACTTTTTTAATCTGAGTTGTGAGTTTGAGTGTGCGGCACATCCGGACGACGGCCATCAGTAGGTTTTCGAAGAGGACGAGGAGACGGCGGAGGAGGCGGAATCCATCTCTGGTTAGTCGCTTTCAGGTCGCAGCGGCAGCAGCAGTAGACAAAATAACGACGGAAGGCGAGAATCGAGAGAGTAGGAGGGGCAATCAGCAGAGTGTCAAACTCATGAAATATCGTAGTATAAAGAAGAAATTGCATGTTGCGCGAAATCAGCGCATGGCGCTTCCCCCAAGGTTTGCAATGGCATCTTAGGTACCATGATCAAAAAAAAATGCATAGGTTGGTTATTAAATTAGTAGGCAACAGTAGCTTATCTAGCCCCACTCATTTATCCCTACAACATGCATGTTTTCCTACGAAAATTGTGTCTATCGTGTTTTATGGTCGGGAAATTAGGACACGCAGTGGAAAAATGCTAAATGCATTTTTTATTTTACTGTATCTAGTAGTGTTGTTGATTTATATCTGTAGATCTTCCTCATCCGTATTATCATTTAACTTACGCGAAAAAACCCGATTGTCTAATTGCAGGTTTCTTGAATTTCCCGAAAAATTGAAATGGTTGTTGGGAGGTCGTCTACTTCAACTTACCTGTGGTCCAACTAACCGTTCTGGAGTTACATGGTCCGCTGCGCGAAGCGCCGCGCACACCTTCAATTTACATGCGGAACAATAGCCCGCGGGGAGCGAAGCGCCGCGCACACCTTCAATTTACATGCGAAACAACTTACTCCCAGCGGCCGCGTAAGCGGCACACATTCAATTTACATGCGGAACAACCTGCTCCCAGCGGCCACGAGAAACAACTTCGACAACATTTTTCACTTTAACCTTACTTTTAAAAATTTCCTTCTCTGCCTATCCTATTTCCCCACTCCACAAAACTCTATAAGTGGGGCTACATAAGCTTCTTTTGCAAATTAGTATTAACTAATAGTTATTTTTCTATAAAAACTCGAATTGCAGATAATAGCTATATTATACATCCCCTATCTCATGTTGAATATAAATGTGTTTAAGGCAGGGAAGCGCACAAAACGGTAAATTAATACAGAATCAGTACAAATACAAAATATCAGTACTTTGGTCACTGCTTATGTGCCTAGGTGTGCCCTCACCCCATTCGCTGTTCTCTGAACACGTACAATTAAAAATTTTCTGGTATTTATTAATTTTCTGTTACAGTGCAAACAGGCACAACGAAAAAGTTTAAGTCCACATATTTTTCTAGTATAGGATATCAAGAGACGTTTCATTTTACCCAATTCAAACCCTATTTTCTTCCCCTCCCCCCCCGCCCATTATACTGATATAAACTGAACTCTTTTCTAATAAAAAGCACTTTGCCCCTCAAGTCGACTCTATGAACAAAATAAAAAAAAAACTTCAAACGTATTTTAAACCCCTCATCGAAGTTTTGGTCCTTATGTCTGTTATAGAACGTGCAGGCTCCAACAAAGACTCGCTTAATTGCCTCTGCGCCAGGTCATAAAGACCCTGCAGAGCCTGCGAGGGCTACTACGATGAAGCAGTTAGTATAATGCAGAAGCTCAGACCACTTGAGTGGATCATCTTTCAAAATGCGGTGGCCACCGCTGTTAGCGCCGCAGCAAGTGTAGGACTTGGAGAAGAATTACCCAGCTCGAATTCCTCCCTGGAGAGGTTCGACCGCGAGACTCGTTAGGGATGTTGACCGTTTCTGTCGCCAGCATACCAAGTCAGATTTTTTGCTTCTATTGGATCCACTGGTGCGTAAATTCTTTGTGCAAAATGTCGTGAGTTTATTTAAGCATATGTTTTATGCACATTTGAACTGGCTTGCACTAGTCAGATGTTACCCGCAGATGTTGGTGATGATACTGAAAATTAACGAATCACGTACTGAAGGTGGGGGCGCACATTTTTATTCACAAGATTAAAGCAGTCATTATTAGAATTATCAGCAGACGGTCGTGGGTCGGCGGAGCCTTGATCTGTTGGTCAAAAAAATGCCAGATAGCAATTCACTCGCGCGCTTTGAATTATGATTATTGCCACCCTCCAATTTCCTCACACTCACCAGCTTTCTGGTGCTGGGTGTATGTGTGAGGCGTTGGTCATTTCACTTCTCACTCTCTTAACATTTATTATCATTAGTTTGCTCGTGGTCAGCATTGCACGTGTTGCAACTTCAGAGCACTGTGTTTTGACACTTATTTCGTCATTTCTAAGTATGCCAAAGTCTCTTTCCACACTTACGGTTTGAAGTGAATGGTCTCCCAAGATATGGTGTGGGTGATTTCCTTAGACCACAAGATTCATATATTCTTCCCTACTTTCTCCCCCTCTGCAGGCTCTCTCGCCCTCGTCGCCGGTGCTTAACGCGCTCTGTCCTTTCACAGTCGATCCCTCTTCGCCCCACCGTCCTTCCGATGTCACCACCAAGACCACCTGCAAG